AAACAACAAGATAAGAAAACTAATTAAAAAAACTAAAAAGTAAAATTAAGTAAAACTATTTTCATATATTTCTTTTTTTTTCTAGTGATTGAATCGATTCTTTATCTCCTAATTTTTCATTCTCTAAATAAATCTTTAATCATTAGCCGTTTACCTTAAATTCTCTACATCAGTGGGATCTTTAATGAGAACAGCCCCATAATCATAAATTTTATTCACAATATATGAACATCTTCAATTAGACTTCAATTTTCTCGTAAATAATTTATCATGAAATTCTTTAGTTTGAGCTTTATAATTTTTTTTATTTTGATGTCCCATTTGTAAGCTCTTCTAATTCTTCAATCTATAGTAATATATTTTTTTCAACCTCTTTCAAGTTCATATTTACCTATTTCAATGTTCATAATGCTCTATGTTCTATCTCTATAGGAAGATGACAATTCTTCATAAACAAACTGAAATGGAGACATTCTTAAAGGTGTTTTAAAAGTAGTTCAATAAGCCCATAAAATATCATCTAATTTTAAGAACTAATCCTTCCTATCAGGCCTCACTATTGTCTTCAAGATTTTATGTATTTCTCTATTTGCTACCTCAATTTGTCCATTGGTTTATGGATTTTACAATTCTTCCTATCATGCCTCACTATTTCTCTCAAGATTTTATGTATTTCTCTATAGCTACCTTAGTTTGTCCATCAGTTTATGGTTGGTTCACACTACTTTTTCTTAATAATTCTCTAAATTAACGTTGTGTGGAATGAGCTCCTTCATCACTAATAATAGCTTTGGGACAACTAAATCTAAAAAATATGTGGCTCTGAATAAATCTCATAACAGTCATATGATCACTTTTCTTAGTAACAATGGCCTTTACCCACTTGGATACATAATCTACACCCAATAAAATAAATTAAAATATAAATAAAGGTGGAAAGGGACCCATGAAATTAATTTCCCAAATATCAAAATTTTCTATAATTAATATAGGTCATAAAGACATTTTATGTTTCTTACTCAAGTTGGTAAATGATTGATATCAATGACATGTTTTATAGAAATAATGGTCACCTTTAAATAAAGAAGGCCAGAAAAATTTACATTGTAAAATTTTGAAAGCAATTTTCTATCTAGAAAAATGATCACCATAGTTAGATATATGACACATTTTCAAGATATTGGAATGTTCATCCTTTGGTACACATCATGTTACAATTTGATATGATTCTAAATAAAATAAACCAAGTTCATTCTAAAAATATCTTTGAATTTTAGCAAAGAAACAATCATCTTCATATTTTCTTTAAACTTTAGTAATTCATTTGAAGCTAAAAAATTCATAGAATGTGTGCACCATGAATGTTTTTTCTATTGAGTTGCCAAAAGTTACTCATTGGGATACGAATCTTGCAATGGAATGATATATTGCTCTATAGCACTTAATCTCAACAAATGATTAGTCACCACAGTTTCATTCTAAGAAGGGGTAATTCAAGCATATGTAAATAAATACTATGTTTACAAATGAATCGCTATGTCATTACATTCTATTTAGGATTAACAATGGGCATAATCTGACCTACTTTAGACAAAATCTTTTTTATCCTTAATTTCTAAGATAAATTCTTGAAGTAATAAAATCCATCTCAAGAGACATCGTTTCATATCCTTTTTAGTAAGAAGAAATTTAAGTGTGACATGATCAGAATAAATTAATGATTTTAGATCATAAAATATAAGATTTCATTTTTTTCAATGCAAAAACTATTGCCAATAATTCATTTTTTGTGATTGTATAATTTTATTGAAGACCATACATAGATGATAATTATAAATTAGTACTTACATCTATGCATTAATATCTTATATATAGATGTTAATTAATAGATAGATAATACAATTATACATATGTTACCGACTCATTATGACATTCATAATATTTTATCATTTAAGTCCTAATGCATATTATTTTATTTATTTTATTTATATTATGAGACTAACCCCACTTAACTTTTATGAAGCTAAGTGGTGATTTTCTCAGATTTTCTTGATAATTATTTGATTGCAAGGACTTAGATGAGCTCTTATTATGAGTTGGAAGTAATGTAAGAAGCTTAAGCCTTCAATCTAATAAAAAGCCTAAGTTTTATGGAGAGGGTCGCCCTAATATATTTATGGGCCGAAGAGAAGGCATCACCTTGAGCTAGCTCATTTGGACCTAAAAGGATTATCAAGAGATAAGATCTAGGCCGTCCATCTTAAGGCATCTTAAGATGAGATTAAGAGAAGAATTAGAGTGCCACCCTCATAGAAAAATTTGGGCTGTCCATCAAGAGAGTCGGTTATTAATCATAACTATCTATTAGAGGAGCCTAATTTTGAAGAAGATTAAATCATCTCATCCTCCTCTTGGAAAGTACTTTTTGACTCTCTCTGTAGCAATGACTAGCCGAAGGAAATAGAAGGGAAATTAAGGCCCAGTCAACTGCATTCTCATGTCCAAGATTATCATGGAGAAGAAATTACCTAGAGCACATCAAGATTGTCATAGATCAAGCGTCACTCAGCCTAAGACTAGTGCACAATGAGATTTGTGCAAGATCCAAATTTGAGACGTCCTTGTAATCCTCTCCATAGATAGATTAACTCTTAATTCAAACTAATTTTACCATTTATTCTATCATTCTATTATGTTAAATTCATTCTGTTCCTTTTGCCACACTTTCTATTTCTCTTGACTTCACCTTTCCTAGATTGAATTCCATCCTTCACAATCTCAAGTATATCTATATATATATAAGAAATAAAATAAGTAGAATTCTTACTCTTATTACTCACTCCTTGAGGATCGACCTTTACTTATCTTAAATAGAAGAGTGAGTTTTTATAAGTATTATTTACATGAACTTGGTTGCATCAAGACAACATATTTAATCTCTAATTCAAGTTCATTAAGGTTGTATAATTTAATTAAACATCTGAAATTATTTTACTTGCATAAGTTATTACCACAAATTTTTATCAATTCTTTGCCTAAAGATAACCCCAACAACTTGATTATATACATCACTCATAATTTCAAATGGTAAAGATCAATTTAGAAACTATAAAATAGGTGCTTCAATCAATAATCTCTTAATTAAACTAAAAGCATATAAACAAGATTCATCAAACATAAATGGTGCATCTTTGGTTAAAAGTGATGTAATCATATTTTATTTTTTTTACAGAAGTTGAAGATTGTAGTCTAGAAATGATTTCAATTTTAGCTCGATCAAGCTCTAGTCCTTTTTCACTTATTATATGACCCAAAACCACTCCTTTTACCATAAAATGACTATTTTCCTAACTCAAGATTTAATTCTTTTCTATGTATTTTTAAGAGTCTTTTCTAAATTATTTAAGCATTCATTAAATAAGTTCCTAAAAAAAAAAAAATCATCCATAATACATCTATACCATTTCCTATCATTTCTAAAAAAAATTGAATCATACAACGTTGAAAGGTAGAAAGCGCATTATAATGACCAAAAGGCATCCTCTTAAAAACATGTACCAAAAGGATATGTAAACATGGTCTTTTCTTGATCATCTAAAGAAATAAAAGTCTAATTATATTGAGAATATCTATTCAAGAACTAAAAAAAAAATGGACTTACTAACTTTTTAAAAATTTGATCCACAACTAGTAGAAGAAAATGGTCTTTTTTGGTTTCTACATTTAATTTTCTATAATCAATGTAAACTCGCCAACTAATAGGAATTGCTTGAAATTCTTATTTGAAATTCTTGTTTAAATTATTTTCTTTTTTCATTCTTCATTATTGTCAATCCAATTTTTTTAGGAACAACTTAGATATGGTTCACACACTTACTATTTAAAATTGAATAAATAAAACTAGTATCAAGCCATTTTACAAACCCATTCTTCACTACCACCATAACATTTAGATTTAATCTTCTTTGAGGTTCCCTTCTAGGTTTAACGCTGTCTTCTAAATAGATATGATGTGTACATTTATCTAAATTTATTCCTTTAAAATCAGATATTTCTCAACCAATTGCTTTTTAATTTTTCCTCAAAAGTTTAGGTAATCATGTTTCTTGATATTCCACCAAGTCTGCAGTGATAATTATTGGAAATGACTGATGTCATCATTAAAGTGTATGTTTCAACTTATTAAGCAGTTCTTTAAGTACTAATTTAGAACTGATAAATTTTTTACTCTTATTTTCTTCAAATCCAGTAAATTCTTATAAGTTTTCTTCTTCCTTTTCATTTTATTCTAATACTCTCTAAAATTGTTCATGAAATTCTTTAAAATCCTTTTCACACCTTTCATTTCATTCACTTCTTCAATTTTACAAACTTGCACCAACTCTACTATATGACACCCAAGCTTTTTCACATTTAATGATTTTTTGCTATTTAAAAAGTTTTAATTTCCACAATTGATCTCCACATTTGATTTTTTCTATTTCTATTATAACAACAATATTTATTTGAGCAGTATTAAAAAATAATCCACTCAATTCAATATCTGAGTTCATTTATAAAATCACAAACTCAATAAGAAATAACTATCCTTTCAAAGTTATTACTAATCTTCTTACATTCCTGTTCAATTTTTTATTGATAAATCTATAAATTGAAGCAGAACAAAGGATGGTTTTAAATTAAGAACTTGAAAATATTCACAAATCAATACTAGTAATAAATCCTAAATCTAATAGTACATTCTTAAAATCAAATCCACTAATTTTACAAGAAATTAGAGGTACACTAGGATCCTTAAGCTTTTGTGACATTTGATTCAGCAACATGTTACTTGTGTGAACAAATAATTTTCCAATCCTTGGTGCTCTCTTCAGTGTGCAAAGTTCTTTCAAAAATTTAGCATAAGTTGGGATATCCTCCACAACTTGCAAAAGAGGAACTTCATATCAACATTTCGAAAACACAATTTTTTTATTGAATTCAGATTGCTTTTTCTATTTTCATATCAATGCATTTGGAGAGGGAAAACTCTTGAACTTTGGTGGAGATCTCTCCACCATCTCTCTAAATTGTTGATGTTGCTCCTGTTCTTTATCTTCCACCATTGCTAGTTCTTCTTTTTCTTCTGCTGCTTCCAAATCTTCTCATGTCTCATTCTTTTTTTGTAGTCTCCTTCTCTTCATATGGATTTTTCAGAATATTTCTACTTATCAAGGTGGTGACTGCCCTAATTTGTTTATTTTGAGGTGCTTTATACTTATTTCTCCAGCAAGATTCTCCTTGCTGAAATTCTCACTATTGACTTGTTAGATTTGATAAGATTTGACTTGGGAGTTACCTTAGTTGACTTGTTTCTCTTTTTTTTTTAATATCATATAATCCTTTGCTCCATTTGTCCAAGGCTCCCTGAATTAGAAGAAAATCTACAGAAAGGAGACTCCAAAAAGAGAATATAAATGTGTTAAGAGTCATCCAAGTGATCAAATTTTGGGAGATGGTTAGAAAGGAGTTTGAACTAGATCAACATTGAAAAGTACAAAGAATTTAACTAAACTAATTTCCAAAATAGAGTCAAAAATAGAAAATAAGCTTTAGAGTTTCAAAATTAGATTTATGTCATGACTTAGTTAATTTAGTTTAACAAAAATAATGTTTAGGCATTAGTTCCTACAAAAATTGAGATATTTGCCTTTTAATCTCTTTCATATAAGAAAATTTGAGTGAAAATCCTGATGAATCATGCCTTTGCATCTAATTATGATAGAAATTCATCTAAAAGGAAGGGATTATTTCAAACAAGAAATTATGAGGATAGAGAATTTAGATCTGATTTTAAGGAGATTAAAAAAAATTAATAATATAAAATCCTTAAATGAAAAGTTTGATGTGCTCATTACCAATAGGAACTTTAATTCTTCAAATATGTCATATTCTAGTTGTTCAACATGTGAAGATATGACACATAATGAGGAAATTTGTCATCATATTAAACAACCAGAGTCATCAAATATAGTAGAAGTTAAGCTATATATAGCTATTCTAAATTTAATGCTCCTATCAATGAACACAATCCTAATTAGAGGAATCACCCAGATTTTTCTTAGAAAAATTTAAATCATATTCGAAATCCAGAAACTTTGGAATCTCTATTTCTTCAAAATATGTGTTAAAAATAAATTTAGATATGTGTAAATTCTTCCTATTTATTCATCTAATATTCCATCTGGGCAAACTAATCCTTCTATGAATATGTTGTAACAAATGATGAATCAAATGATACATAATCAATTGAGTTTTCCAAGAGACGCAACATAAATTCCAAGAGATGATACATAATCATTGATTCAGATTTCCTCAAATTTGATTTCTAATATTTATCCATTCTCATTAACAGGAACTTATTTTTTCTTTGCACTTCACAAATCTCAAGTTCATAGTTTTACCAACTACCACTACCCTTTCATTGTAAACCCTAAAAGCTCCTAAATTCTCATAGCATCCTAGAAAAAATCTTTCAACACTTATAGGATCATGCTTTCCTATTTCTTGCCTACCATTTATGAGGATAATGTGTTTTCATCCAAATGATATAAAGTATATAATATTTGGTTTCTTTCCTTTGAATAACTCATGACTTTTCTTCACTATAAGTCTCATCATGACTTTATTCATTTATTACCTCTACCCAAAAATCTGAGAAACATTATTTTAAGTTAATGTACTCCAAGAGATATGTAGTCCTATCATATTCACTATCTCAACAACTCTATCTTATTTAGGTGTTGTAGCACTAAGAAAATCATGAGTTATTTGTTGATCATCACATTAATTAAGATTTTTGAATTCTCCACGATGACCACCTTTGATTCTTTTAATCCTCAACTTCTTTTCATTCTTAGTCTTCAAGCTAAATTTCCTAAGTGCCTCAACGGTGTCACTTTTATGTCTAAGGAAAATACCCATATGAATCATCAACTATGGCAAAGCATCCTAGCTACCTTTGTTGGTAAAATCCATGTGATGTAATTCTAACAGTTGACTAGTTCTGATTATATCATTAGGCATATGTGTTTTTCTAATCATTTTTTTCTATAAAATAAGAAGTGTTACAATAAAAGCCCTCATCTAGTTTCAACATTGGTATCATGTTCACCAATACTAAATAGTATTGCACACACAATCCTTTGCCTGCCCTCCTCCCTTCTTTAGTGCTCTTATTCTTCTTAAGCATCAAAATAGTCAAAAGGAGAAAGACTCATTCTTTTTGAATTATGTCCCCAAGTCAAGGACTTTGATGATAGCAAATTGGATGTTAGAAAAATGGGTTCAAACTTTTCATGCTTATCACCATGGGAAGGTGACAAAAAGAAGAGCAAGAACTATAGTCAAAGTTGAGTGATAAAAAGAAAGAGAGGGTGATGATAATGGAATCAACATAAAACTCTCAAAATGAGGGGACTTCATCTTGCAGTTGATTTTAAGGTCTAAATTGAACAAAAACATGCCAAAAACAAATAAAATCTAGTCTCTCAACCCATTCATGAGGTTTTAATAGGATGATGAAATGTTGCCCTAGTTGGATGTCTAATGAAACTTTTCATAGCATAAACAACAATTTAGAATAAGTCAAATTAGTATTATCTTTTAGAGCCTTCATAGTTTTAAAGTCTGATATGTTTGGGTTTTAGTACTAGTAATTTTGTCTGTTATCACATCCCTAAAGTAAGTGATTTGTCTCAGCTTGGTAATAAGAAGTTTTAATAGTTAATAAACAAGTTATCAGATGAAGTTGTCAACTCACCTTTTGTGAGGAAGTCTCAACACTCCAAAGTGATTGAGAAAGTGAGTGCACTTGCAATGTGCATCCAAGTCTCGCCATTCATTTTACCAATATTATTGTTTCTAAAGTCAATAGTTTGCATGCAATCGTAAGAAGTTGTAAACTCATGAGTTGACTCACTTAGTAAGAGGGCCACTGCAATGCAGCAAAATAGCTCCAAATAATGAAAGACAATTATTTAGTACTGCAAGTTAGCTGCTGGAAGCTTGCAATTAACAATTGGAGTATTTCTTCAGATGATATTTCATGATATGATCGTTGCAGCATACTAATAAATTTAAACATTTAGAAGGCCTTGAGTACATGTATATAAAAAACTACTAATTGCCCTTGCCCAACACCTTGTGTGAGAAGATTAAATATAACTTTAAATATATATATATATATATATATATAATGACAATCGTTACATCCCATATTCATTTGTTGTGATAATCAATCATTTATTCAAAATAATTCATGATTGAGAGTATTTAAAATAATAAAATTGTATTTCGTATTTAATGTTGTTAATGATTAGCTCCAATGCTTTAAAGAATGAGAGAGGAAATAAGATGTTATTATAATCCATCAAATATTACTAATAAATTCTTATTTTCATGATGAAATTAAATGTTTTAGAGTAAATAAATTAGGTATTTTATAATTGGTATTGAAAACGGGACGACTTTAGAGAGGTCAACGTATCATTCACCCCTTAATTAGGCTCTTATGAGCAAGCACTTCTTCGCGTTGTAATTACTCCATCTCTCTCTCTCTCTCACCCTCTCGCCCCATCTCTTCACACAGCCAGAGACTTCTGTCAAAGGAGTGATTACTACGTCGAGAACCTCGCCTACACGACGCCCGTGCATTTTTCATGTCGGCGAGCCCCCGCCGGCGTAATTTGCGCCGGCTCGTCTCTGCCCCAAGCCAGCGGGCCCTCGAGCCACGAGTTTTATTTGTTTGTTCTAATCCTCCGTCGTTGCTAGCTAATGTGCCAAATTATCATCTGCGTCACCATGCTACGTCAGCCTCACAGGATATATCACAATGGGTACGTCAGCTGCACCGGATGTACTATCATGGGTACGTCAGCCGCACAGGACGTACTGGCCGTCTCTTCCGCATTAAACGCCATGTCAATCCTTTTTCGCATTAAATGCGGTTCGTGTTCTTCACGACAGCCACCCATTATGAGCTGAAAATGTTCTAATAATGAGTCACGTGCCACAAAAGAGAGACAGTTGAAATAAATAAATAATGTGAAGTGAAAATAGTAACGACACAATATTTCTGAGTATTTAAATAGACGCCGATCTCGTCTTGCCACTTCATATCTAATGCAGACTCTTGGAAGTCTTCATATCTATAGCTGCTGTCGAGAGATCGAGATAGAGATAGAGAGAGAGAGAGAGGAAGGGAGGGAGAGGGGAAGAGATGGTTTCGAAGACACCGCTGCTGGAAGAGGACGGTGGAGGGGCGTGGGAGAGATTGAGGAGCGAGGCGGCGCAGGAGGCGAGGCATCAGGTAGTGTTTTCTCTGCCGATGATTTTGACGAACATGGCGTACTACTGCATGCCGCTCGTCTCCGCCATGTTCGCCGGCCACCTCGGCAATGTCGAGTTTGCCGGTTCCACCCTCGTGAACTCCTGGGCCACCGTCACCGGCTACGCCTTCGTGGTATCTTCCCCCTTCTTCTTCTTCTTCTCCCTCTCTCTCTCTCTCTCTCTCTCTCTCTCTCTCTCTCTCTCTCTCTCTCTCTCTCTCTCTCTCTCTCTCTCACTCACTCTCTCCCACTCTCACTCTTCCCAAGTAAAGCCGCGCGTGTACAGGCTATTGGTTATTCTTAGAAAATGGCGTTTTACTTCCGAAAGTTGACATCCAGGTTGGGCTGAGCGGGGCTCTGGAGACGCTCTGCGGACAGGCCTACGGCGCTAAGATGTATCGGACGATGGGCATCTATCTGCAGGCGTCGATGATCATCACCATCGCCGTCTCCTGCGTCCTCGCCGTCGTCTGGTGGTTCTCGGAGCCCATCCTCATCGCCCTCCGCCAGGAGCCGGCGGTGGCGCACGCCGCCGCCGCGTACATGCGGCCGCTCATCCCCGCCCTCTTCGCCTGTGGCCTGGTTCACTGCCTGGTGAGGTTCCTGCAAGCGCAGTCGGCGAGGGCACCACTCGTTGTGTGCTCAGTCGGTCCATTAGCTCTGCACGTACTGATCGCCTACGTGCTCATGCACCCGGGGGGGATGGGGTTCGCCGGCGCCGCCGCGGCGACGGGCGT